ATAAATTTTTTTAAAAAAAACTAGTCATTGAAATAATACATAAAATTATACTAAATATATATATATATAAAGGTTATAAAATATTATGTTTAAATCATTTTCTTAAAGAGAATTAAAAAGGGAAAAAGGCGCTCGTTAAAACGACCTTTAAGATTGGAGAAAAAGGGGAAAATCTAGGGTTTCCACAAAAGCATGGAGAAAAAGGGGAAATTTATGGTCAGAGATCTTCAAAGCAGGAGCATTTCTCACGCTATGAGAGATTTCCCAGGAAGCAAAAGGGTTGTTATCGATCTCCAAAGACTAAAATAAACCCGAGGAGAAATTTGTTTTCAATAAATCTATGTTTTTCATTTAAAAAAATCTTTTCACCTTTTTCCAATAACCTAGGAAAAAATTCTTTTTAAAAATTAGCTACAAAATGAATGTCGTCTTTTTCTTCTTTTTTATTTTTTAATTTTTAATTTTTAATTTTTTTCTCCATCTAACAAGATCGCCAGTTTACCCTATGAAAAACAACTCACCCAAAACAGAGCAAAACAAAGGTTCGACTTTGAGCTGCAGAATTACAGGCGAAATTTCTTATTAAAGAAGGAGAAGGAAAAAAAACATGGGGCTAATTAGCGAGCTAACTACTCAAGGTTTTGAGGGAAATGGCGTTGATAATAACAAACTGTCTCATGACAACACTGCATCTATGGAAATTGGCTTTGGGATTAGGTATCCATTTGTTCAATTGCAAAGTATATATAAAGTAAGAAACAATAACATAAATAGTTGCTAAAATCTTGACTTATAGGGTGCGAGTTAGAGCAAGGGAGGGCACCACCATAGAAAGCACTATCGACCGATCCGCTGCAGCACTACCAAAAACGATGGATTTTCAGCATTGAGGGGAAGAGACCGACCTGTGTTTTTAGGCCGAAGATTCTGAGTCCTTTCCCTTGCGATTTTCAGAAGTTAGGGGAAAGGAAGGCATATGAACATATCAAAGTAAATAAGATGGGTCAACCAGTCAAGCAGTCTCCGCGTGATTGGGATTTTTTAATTGCTGCTGAATGTGCATGGTCCCCAGAACAACAACATGTACATTATTATTCCAAGTAAACATAAATTAACATTTTTTCTTTTGAACAAGGGCAATTTGGGGGTAAGGGGGGATTGAACCCAGCTCAATGAGCTGGGAGGCGTACCTTTAAACTAATCCAGCTAAAGGCGAGGTGCATAAACATGAACTAACTTCAGCACTACATTTCGAGGATATTCAAGAAAAAGAAAGGGAGAATATTCAAAAATCTAGCTAATGTCTGGGAAGTGTGGGCAAACAAACAAAGGCAGGCAAATAAAGGCACCTAATTTACTTTGGGTGGTGCGAGAGTAAGATCTAAATTCAAAACAACCCTTGGATTGAAGTTTTCCGCCTCAGTTCCAAACAATCCCATTGTAGGCGCCTGATTTCCTTCCCAAGCCACCACAGGTGGTGCCAGAGTCAGGTTTAGGTTCAGATGAAATTCATCTGCACTGGTTTGATTGAGAATTGGGTCCAAATTGGTTGTTTTAGTATCATCGTGGTGGGTTTGATGGGCAATTTGCTGCTGCACGCCAGTGCTCTTGAGTTCCTCTTCTACCGGCAAGGGAAGTGTACCAGCAAACATTGGTGTTTGCAGTCCCTTATCCAGTGTCAACCCTAAATTCATGTCATTTGGCTTCAAACTAAGCTCTTCAGCCTTCTGAGCAATTGGCGGAATAGTTGCAGGGGCTAGTTGCGTCTCTTGTTTGATGGCAAGGATCTTCGTTGCAACGATCTCCACATTGACATTACTGTCTGCAACTCCCACATTGACATTACTGAGCGGAAATATTGGCACCTGCTGCTCTTCAAGGTCACGATACAGAGCAGAAAGTGGCTTGCTCCCTCTCTCGATCTCAATCCGATACCAGATTCCTGCTTCGTCTTCGTCCCTAAAGACTGTGACTACATCACCGACCTCCAGCTGATTTTTGCGGACAAAGGGTATCCAACCCTTGGAGATTACAGGTTTTTTGTGGCCGTGTGTACGAGTGGATATGACCATAGGCCAAATGATGGGGCCTTGCCAAAAGTTCACAGGCACCAAATGATGACCATTAAATTGTGGGAACAAGTGTAATGTCTGTGCTGGGATGGCAAACCTTTTGAGCCTGTCAGTGCGTTTCAGTGGTTTTCTTACGACAAGGGTGGACAGAGACATGATGGACTTGACTAGGATTGGTGCAATTAATGAAACTGAAAACAAGCTTAAGTAGATCGAAACAATGTATTGAAATGGGTATGTGCCCAGGGTTTATTTTCAGGAACAAAGTGCCCTAGCCATTTATAAGCCAAAACTGAGGTCAAAATATCAGCAATTTAAAGAAGTTAACTTTTGAAGATGTTGTTAGTGGGGAAGATACAGATATGATCATGTCTTGGATGGACAAGGCTGATACAACCATGACGGACTTGGCTAAGATAAATTGTTGGAATGATAAAGAATGATATATAGACTTGACTAAAAGAGGTATGGACCTTAGCCTATCTATGATAAAGACATGATACATAGACTTGACTAATTGAGACATGGATTTAACTTAGATCATCAGTGGAGCTAGTGGGGTTTGAGGCCCAGGTCCCCCCTAACTTTCTTTTGAAAATTTAGAAGTTTAGTCCCTAATTTTATTTTATTATTTTATCTTAAATAATTTTACTATCATTTTACTTTTTTTTTATTATTGAATATTACTTTTAAGTGATAATAAAAAAGATGAGGAAAATATAGATAATAAAAAATAAAAAAAATATATTAATTAAAAAATTATCCAGTAATGATTTTTCACAAAATGTTTACTAGTAACCTTTTATTTTTCATAACAAATGTCATGTTTAGTTGGTGGTAGTAATTATTCTTATTTTATTAGTTTTTTAAAAATAACTACAACACAAACTACAATATATAAATTTATAAAGTCCATACAAAATTTTATCAATTAATTTTTTTTATAATTTAAAATAATTTTTATTTTGTAATGTAAAACAGTTCAAATTGTGAAAAAGCTAAGAGAAAATTCTCCATACCATATCGATGCACTTTAGAGCTTTTGGGCATAGGTCCAATTCTGAACCATCTATAATCATTTTTCAATTGGCTCACTTTGATGTTGCACAACTACAGAGTCAATCTAGGGATTCATTAATAAAAATATACAATCATTAATATTTGAAATTTTATATACTAACAAAGTAAGCTATTTTGTGGCTGATACGTAGAGTTTCTAAATTTAAGTCATAAGCGTACGTGGGGTGCACAAAGAAGGGAGATAATAATACATTATTATATAATTTTAAATTAAAACAATTAAATTTTATATTTATCTATATATATAATGCTATCCTATGTATTAAATAGGGTATGCAAATATATATATATATAATTATTATATTATTATTAGTATAAATGGAAAAAAAAAAGAAAATTATAAATAATAATAAAAGTGGTAGATGAAGAGACAGATAACTGAAAATATGTAAATGATAAAAATAATTAAGAATAATTGATTAATGAATAAATGTGGTAGATGAAGAGGCAATGAAAGAAAGAAAAATGAAAAAAAATTATTCAACAAAAAGAAGATGAAAAGTCAAGTGTTAACTATTTAAACTCCTTACATTTTTTTCATTGCTATTTTGTTTTAAAGATTTTTCTAAATCCAAACTTTTGTTGTAGGGTATAATTGTTAGGATTTCTTTTTCTCAATATAAACAGATATTTGATCTTAACCACTAATTTGTTTTTTCCTTAATTATATTATATTTTTTTTCATATTTCGAAATATTTTGTTGTTAAAATTTTTAAAATATTTATAGGTAAATCAAAGCAAAAGATATGAATATGTATTTCTTGATCAACTTTCTCCCAATAACAAAGATCAAAAGATTAAAGTGTGAATATGTAAACTATGGGATGTTTTTAGTTTGAAACATGACAAA